GATCAAAGTCAGAAAATTGTATTGTACTGCATGCATGTAACTGCATACTGTTGTGTGGACAACAAGTTGTTCTTTAAAACACCCAACATTCAGCTAATTCATGTTACAATTTTGAAGGTAAAGGACGCCTCTTACAACACTTTTTTACAAAACAAGGAAATGAACATTGCAGTTTTGAATCATTCAATATGAAATTCAAAACACAGTAATCAAAAAGCTACAAGTAACCTTCAAGACTAGTACTGATCTCCTTGGGAGGCAAATCAAAAATTCTTTTCAGTTCTGGAGAAACACAGATGAAAAGAAAATCACTCCGATGGACACTTTGCATAGGCCAACGAAGCTTATTTTCAGCTACTTTGACCATCTCAAGCTTGTCCAGGTGGCACTTGTATGCCAAGTTTTCACTAAAATGATAGAACAGTTTCAAAACCTCATCTTCAAAAGCTCTTTCTTCCATGTGAGAGCAGTGAATGATGGAGATCGTTATCCCTGAGCTTGCGGCAGCTGGATCATATAAAAGAAATGGATAGTGTTAGCTGGTGTTACAAGGTTAAGCTACGAGACTTCAATTTGGACATTCCTATGCATGACTGCGAGAGATTTATCACAGATTCATTACATCACTGACATTTAAGATTGAATCATTATGTTGAGTGAAAGGTATATCTTTGTAATTTTCATATAAATGTTTTACTAGTTAGATAACTCTAGATCAAGTTTCAGAGTCTTTTGCCTTTCCATTTTCTTCTCACGAGGTAAATTTTCTATTCATATTCACAAACCAAACGCAGGACATGAAAAGTGCTCACCCTAGAGCACAATTAAAAAGCCAAAGTTTCATAACTCCTGGCAATAACCTGTACCTTGACTGATACCCAGCTGCTTTTGGGGAAGCTACAGATTCTCCTGAGCTTACACTGGCTGAAATAGACAACCTCTGTGCATCGTTTTCTTTGAAGGGAGACAGATTTTCAGTTGAAGTTTGCTCAGATTCATCGTGACAGTCAGATCCAGTGGATGATATCACCACAGACTTGTCCAAACTTGATTCACCAGGGTTTCCCTCACAGTTAGATGGTTCATATGATCTTATGCGTCTCTTCAAAGCAGCTGTTGGGGAAGCTACAGATTCTCCTGAGTACACACACCCTGAAATGGACAACCTCTGTGTACCTTTTCCTTTGAAGGGAGACAGATTTTCAGTTGAATTTTGTTCAGGTTCATCGTGGGAGTCAGATCCAGTGGATGATATCACCATAGACCTGTCTAAACTTGATTCACTAGAGTTTTCCTCACTGTTAAATGGATCACATGACCTCTTGTGTCCCTTTCTAGAGAGAAAATTGGCTACCCTTTTCCAAGGAGATTTCTTTAGGTCCTTTGATTTACTTTTTGGCTCATGAGATTTTGACCGCTTATAGCTCTTTACAGCCTGGTTACGCTCTAACAGATCTGTATCCTTAAGAGGTGGATCTGATGGCCAAGACACAAACCTTAATAGTTTAGGTCTCTGTAAGAGAGTTGCACCCTCTTCAGTGCATGTACCTCTGCTATCTGGGTTATTACTACCACAAAATCTCTCCTCTTGCAGTTCTCTGTTACGCTTACTTGAGTACGAAACTATTTCCGTAATTCCACCAACAAAACTCTCTTCCCTTGAATTAACGACTGTGGTTGGTGGAAGGTTTGAAGTTGTTGAGTAATCTGATGTCATCGATGAAAAGGGGTTTTTGCATCCCAAGTCAGTTGATGAAACAACTGCACTCCTTATGCTAAAATCTTCAAGCTGGTATCTCTGTGTGTCAACAATCCCATCATCACTATCATTAATGCTTTCACTTTGCTTGCTTCTTGTTCCAAACTCTTTTAAAATCTGAAAAGATCATAAAAATAGGAATGTTGGCTGGAAAAGATTTTATCCATTAAAACATAGGGTTGTATACCAGCAACCCCAATCAAAACATAAATCTCTGTCGGTTACTTTGCAAGTTTTTGCTGACCCTATCATAGTAGGTAACTACAAATGCAGCCAGGAGTACAATAAAATAATAAATACAGTGTTGCCACAGCTATATCTGACAGAAATATACTAATATTTTGATATCTGTACATGTACTGACATGTATACATGTAAGATCTTGAAATTCTCTGACTTTTCCATGACAATTAATGTTGAATTTCCCTGACCAACTACGATAATTTCACTAATTGGTCCTGTCGTAGCAGTCCCTCAACAAGTCAGATGAAGTGTACATGAACTAATTCTTCCTTAATGTAACATGGAAAAAGAATAGAGTTTTTACTGTAAATGCAGGAAACCCAAGCATATACAAGGCTCAAGTTTCATTTTTGAACTTACTAGCCAAGTGGCAACTTAGATGTTACAACAATTTCGGTTTGTTTACCAGCCAAACTGGCTGATGGAAATTGAAAACCATTAGCCAAAACTGAATTTCTACTAGTCTGTGGCTAGTTGGCTACTATAAGTGTTGAGCCCTGATATAAACTTCTAATTCAATCTCATTTATCAATATTTTATGAATCCAACAAGTTGCACCAAAGATTTTGAAATATACAAAAGTAGAAACAGAAGTAAAATTGTTTAGTTTGAGATAAACTCTGGAGTACACAATATACCTGGACATGCTACTGAAGTGTCTATACAGTAAGTGGCGTGACTGTTTTGCCCTTTGTCATGCCTAAAGAAGTTCTACCATCATTTCCCAATCCTGTTTCAAACTTGAATTTCTCTTATTCACATTAAAAAAAAGAAGACAAAAATGATATTCCAGGAAAAAATCATACCAATTCCAGACCACAATCTCACCTGACTTTGAACTATATTAAGGGTTAAAAAATTTTCCTATGTTAAAGCCTCCCAGCTGGTATAAATGGACCTTAATTCTGTTGATAGTATTGTCTGGTTTTTCAAGTAAGAAAGGTCATTAGAGACAGTAACAAATGTTATAATGTCATTCAGTCCAAAATCGACAATAAACTGAGCTTTTCAATGCCCGCTAACTATAAAGTTCGATCGTCTAACATGCAGATGGCTTCCAGTGTTCGGGGTGCCCGTGAAGTCATTTAGGGGTCCCTAAGGGGATCCCGAAACATTTCAATATTACAACAACAAACATTTAAACAACACGAGCAGATAAAGCCATTTGACTTTGATAATGACTTCTGAGCTAAGGAGGTCAGAATACCAATCAGTGTCACTGGCAAAAGTCCCTTTCAGAAAAATCTTCACCTGGACAATCAGACTAGATGTAATTAATAGTTACTCAGCAAAGTGGAAATGAAAAGTGGTGGATATTTACTCAGCCCTTTTGTGGCGTTGTCACAATCCACCAACTTCGATGACACTGAGGTGAATAATGGGTTTAACTTGTATACCATACAGATATTAAAACATTTAGTTTACTTCTCTCAAAGTACTGTGCCAAAGAATAGCCAGAAATTAAACTCTTGCATGAGCATGATTTTGTCTTTTAGCTACTTGGAGGTGAATAGTACTTGCTATTCACCTCAAAACTAGCCAATCAGCACATGTGAAAAAGCACTATTCACTTCTGTGGTATATGCTAATAAAGGTTATTTCTGGGTTGGCAAATCATTCACTGTTTGGCTTGTAAACAAACTGAAATTGTCATGACATCTAAGTTGTCACCAGCCACTTGGGTAGTAAGTTAAAAAGTTGGTGTCAAGCCCTCTTTATGCCTGGTCCTTGCATCTTTCCTTTCTTTCATATGATAAGATCTTTTATAAGATCTGCACCAGGATGAAAATAGAGAGGCATCAAAAGCAATGTTTTGGAAAATGAGCATAAATATCTATACCTGATAATTTCCTTTCTTGCTTGCTTCCTTTGAATGTCTGTTCTCCTGTTTTATTTGAAGTGCCTACAACTGCAGGGAATGATAACAGTAATGCATGCTCAATAGGACTGTAGGTAATTTAAATTAACAGCATTTGTGGTTCTTTTGATAAAACCGCAAAAAAGGGCTGATGCATGTACAGCACTACATACTTTCTATTTGCACTCCTTGAACTCTTCCATTTGTGTGTACTGCAGGTTTAGGTGAACAGCCTGCATCTGCAGAGTATGAAACACAAATCACATATCTATACAGTTGGTGGTGAAAACAGTGGACTTCTTCTCGTACACAGAGAAAATAACTTAAAAGACTAACATACAAGTTCCCATACCAATTACTGCTTGTACTTCCTTCTTGCTTCTCTTTTTTTGTTCTGCTGATTTATCAGAAATGATTAGATATGTGCAGCATGAAAATTTAAGCAGGTTCAAAAACAAAGAAAGCATCAGCAAAAAAAATAAAAATTGTTGGAAAGAATTTCTTCAGGTTGTAATACTAAGAGAAAAGATGAAAATACCATAGGAAACTTGCATCAATTATATAGTGATAGCACAAGTATACAGACCTGCATTAATTGGCCTTGGTAAATATTCACTTTTGGGAACCTCCTTGCCATCCATTGTGAAAACTGCCTTTGGAACATCCTCTGTGGTAGTGTTCCCTTATGACAAAATTAAAATTGATGGAAAACTAGTGTTTGCATGAATTTTACACATCTCTCTACTGGCGGTGCTCTTAAACAGATTTTTAGAAATATCCTTGCTTTAAAGAACATTGCATGTTCAGCAAGAGAACCTTTCTTCAACAACAAGTAAGCTGGAGGCCTCGAGCAATACAGGCTGGCAAGAGGTGACTGAAAAGTCTTAAGCATCAGTGAGCCAGGCCACTTTCAAGCCTAAATTAAAGCTTTTTATACTGAAGTGCCAATAATGGGACCAAAGCTCACAGGCTAATCCCAATCCATTCCACACCTGCATATATCCTTAAAGGTGATTCTCATGATAAATGAATAAACACAAACACATTTAAATCAGGAACAACAAAAATTGTACCTTTCGCTGTTTCATTTTAGGGTTAAACTACCTTAATTAAATGATGAAGGACAAACCACCTGGACTCATTGCCAGACACTCAAAAATATCAATTTTGGCATAAACCATGCCTCAACAACTTAAGACAAAATGAAATGAAGGCTTAATTTTCCCCTACACACCCCCCACCCCCACCAATATATCAATTTAGTGCAAACCTGTCAAATGACAACTTAGGGGAACATCAGGTTGAGTCCCTTTCACCAAGTGTAGAATCATCTTCTCAAACTTCTTACATTCCCCTTGCCAAGAATACTTCAGGTTATATTGCTCTCTAAGCTGCAAGGCAGCGGAATGTCTGCTTCCTGGTTTCTGCTCAGACAACCGACGTATCCTATTGGCCCACTCTTCTGGTGCATGTGACTTGACAACTGTAGACATCCCACCTTCCACGTCTTGAAGAGCTTTGGCTACTCCACTTTCACTCGAGACAAGTACAGGCACACCAGCTGATATTGACTCCAGGGAAACCAAACCAAAGCCCTCTGTGCGGGATGGCATGACGACTAAGTCCGCTTCCTGTAACATCCTCTTCATTTCCTCATAACTGCAGAATCCACGAACGGTTAACTGCTCACGTGATATTTTCGTTTCCTCCAGGAACCACTTTTCTACCCTCCGTTGTTCATCTTCTGCTGCACCGACAAATGTGAGCTCGAATTTTCTTTCCAGCAAAGCCACAGCTTTTCCGATTACATCGTATCCTTTCAGTTGAAAGTCCTCAAAGCTTCCACGACCGAACATAAAGATACAGAACTCTTCCTGCGATGGTTCGAACTTCAAGTCCGACTGCCTCGCAGTCGGATTGACAAACTGTTCGAGAATCCCAGGCGTAATAACTTGGACCATCTTGATATCTCGCAGACTTCTTTGATATTTTCCTTGCAGTAGAGATCCTACGGCAACCACTAAATCAGATGCTTCGCACAGCTCCAGTTCACGTCGATTCTTTTCTTCATTGTCTGCAATTGCATCTGCCGTGACGCAGGATTCTAATTTGTACTTTCCAAGTGCTTCGCATTAGACATGCACAAATTGTATCCACCGGCAGTTTGTGATCCTTCGGATGAAATAAGCGCCACCACCAAACTTTCTTCCGTGAGCCACTACGACATCAGGATTTAATAGATCTAACGGTGGAGTTTTTAGCCAGTCCAACGGATCGCTAGATCCTGGTGAGCGTCGCGCAGTTAAAAGAGTTACTCCTTTACCACTTGCATCGAGCCTCTCCGCTTCGCTGCTTTCAGATACGTAGCAGTGAACCTTGATTTTGTCTTTCGATATCTTCGCTAGATTCACAGCTAGCTCTCTGTTGAATGTAGAGAGACCTCCATTTTTGGAGCCCCACTCACCACAGATGAACATAATATTTTTACATGGAGGGATTTCAAGATCGCCAGGATCACTCTCCCCAAGATGAGATGTCTCCGAGCTGGCCCCATCGTCCTCACTGCGCTCGTCTAGGAAAACAACATCTGTGCTTTGTCCGCTGATGTTTGAATTGATGGGCCCTGATGCTGTTGAATGTAATCTTTCCATTTGATAGTAACTGTCCTAAACGATAAATCATGCGATGCAAATGTTGCAACGTTGCACTTCCTCCGTTTCAGTTTCTCGGAACGCTTCAACGATCGAAGGGTCTGGCACTAATGTAATTTTAAAGTCAGACCCACTCTTTACCATAAGTGTGTGGGTTCTTTAACAAGTTCCCTGCTAACCATTATAGACGAGATGCAGGAGACGAAGCCTAAGGTTCTTTCGCCCCTCTCCGAGAAGACTAGAATATTTATCTATTTCTTGAATAGAAAGGTAGCACATTCTCCTCAATTATTTTAAGACCCTCAGTGTTAGTCCGGTCTGAGGCTCGAACCCCCTCGACCGCCCACAAGGTAGTTCGGCGCTCTACCACTTGAGCTAACCAGGCAGCGGCTTTTACGCTGAAGAGGATTAATTCGTATTTCGCGTTCTGGGTACACCCAGAGGGGTTATCGAAAACACAAGTGTTTTGGGTAATGGGACACCCATAACTCGGGGGATACCCAAAACACTGCGACAACTAACGCTGGCTCGACGGTCCGACGAAATGGGAAAAAAGCGACAAAGCTCTACCTCCTACCCATCGCCTCTTTCTTCCCCATTTGTACCCCGGACACATTATGAAGACGATTGGAAATGAGTCAGCCACTCTATACCTGTGTTCACCTTTCTGTAGGCGAGACCTTTTTATGATTCATTATTATTATTAGTTATTTTTCGAGTAAGGGGAACATTTCTAGAGTTTATTGAAAACCAGCGGCCTGAAACTACTATCGAAAAAAAAATATATAAAACTGCTATGACAAAAGTTGAAGAAATTAAATAAGTAAACGCTTTCTTGAATCCTCTTGTATCAAGAAAAAAAATATCTCATTTGACTTCGGTCACAGTGGAAGAAAGCCGGGAAGGGATTTACACACGCCATTGCAGCTAGTTTGAAACTCTCACAACTTCAAGAATTTAATTTAAATCTACTCACAGTGACTTCTCTCGCCATTGAAAACTCAGCAGAGATCCATCTTCGTAGATTAATCGTCGATGCAAACAGATAATACAGAAACCAGCTCTGTTGTTCATCTTAAAAAATTCCTATAAAATTATGGAGGAAAGAGGAGCAATAACGAAAGTTGTAAAACTGGCAAAACTATTTATACAACAACAGCAACAACAACAACAACTTTATTACCCCATAATTTAGGAATTACAGTCATTTGTAAAAAACTGATTTGATAAGCTTGTTTAAGGGTTACCAGCTCCCTGAAATAACTAAGTAGCTAAAAACACAAGAGAGCTGGTTTAAATGGTGTAAATTAAATATTTACAGCAGAGGTAAGACAAAATAAATCTGCCGTCATCTTGTTCCCACCGCTGACCACATCAGTCCTGGTACGTTGTTCACATTGTTGTTAGTGCGATATGCACATTTCTCCACCACCCCCTTGAAAAGTTCATCCGTGGCACGCCTCTTGTCGACTCATGTTGCTTGGGTCTCTAGCCCATACATTTTCCCGTCACCGAAAAAACGCTCGTGCAGAAGCCGGCGCTAGTAATGAAAGCCTGATCGCAAGCACTTTTAAAACATTAAACTACTTAAGGGCTCTCAGTTTTCAGTCGGCATGAATGTTCAAAGATTAAAAAAAAATCCTTGAAAAAAGATATGTAATATTTAATAAATACCGAAATCGCTATGTATCATTATAGTGATGATTTAAAAGTACACGCCCGAAAACCTAACACGAATATAAAAAATCACTTTCATATTTTATCCGAGGTTTTCTGCTTACGTTTCATATGTAAGCTTTTGCAGCTGCCTACTGTAATATTTTGGCTCTTCGTCGAGATGTACCTTAGAAATTGCTTAATTGCTTTTTTGTGATTTGTAACACCATCTTTAGTCCATCAATGTTCACATGGCTTGACGTCGAATTTTTTGAAGCTGCAATCCCCATTCAAAATTCCTTCTTCCTAAAAATCAATCATAGATCTTATTTCAAATGCAAAACTACTTCTTCTGCATCTACGTAAAGTTATGAAATGAAAGCAAATGACGTCAAAGAGGGCGGTTCCCACCTCCCAGTTTACGCGCCATTGCTTCGCTGCCTTAAGCAGTCTCGTCTTACGGATTAACCCCTAAACTACCATGAGTGATAAAGACTCCAAGACACAATCCCTTCTTACAATATCGATACAGTATTAAGCAGACAAGTGAGGAGAGAAAATAAAAATGTCAGTCGGGGGAGTATTAGTTAATCCACCATAAATTCTCTCTGAAGAAACTTCATAGTTACTGGTTGTCAGACAGGGACAGGGACAGGATGGAAAATTTCCAGTGCAGAGGCAAAGGATTGACAAACACGTCTTATGAATTTCTGCGGATCGAATAGTCAAGCTGTACTTTACTTACGAGTAAAATCAAGGTCTAAATAAAGAATATTAAATCATATTAGGGATTGGCGTTTATTGCTATATCGTCTTTGTGTGTGGGGGGGGGGGCTGAGGTTACAGTATTTTCACCGCACCGCCCCCCGACCTGTCCTGCTCCAGAGTGTCTGGAATAGACCCTTTGTTTTCAATCTTTTTTTTTTTTTTTCACAAATTGTTACTTAAATTACCGTCGCGAAGAAAGGGGAAGTGACAAACTTTTCTGTACTCTCCCTCCCCCCTCGCTTTCATGCGCGCACGCACTTCAGTTCAAGTTACCTGGGTTGTTCTGGTAAGAACAGTGGAATCGAACCGTTCCGCTCCCACGCTCACCGTGAGAGAATGGATTGGTATATTGATATGTCGGCTTTTTAACTTTCAAGCCAACCACTGATTACCCTGCTATTATTATTATTATTATTATTCAGCCATTAAATGGCGTCATGAGTCATGAGGTATGTCGGAAGTCAAATAAAAAACTATTGATCACTTCAAACAGTCCCTTTCAAGACCACCTTCTCCCAGACAATCACATCACTTATGATGCACGATCCTCGCAGTAGATAGCGCTATTTAAGCAATAGCGAAAATCAGGCCTGTACGGGATTCGAAAAAACCCACAGAATTTCTTTTCAGGTCTGATTTTCGCTATTGCTTAAATAGCGCTATCTACTGCATGGATCGTGCATCATACGTATCTAATACCGCAGTTCAAAATATATGAACTTCATATATTTCATTGTATCTGATTTATCACTTTCACGGGTTTATTACCAATCAACTTAACGGCCTGCTCCCAGTTGGCTTGTTAGCTCAATTGGTAGAGCGCTGCACTAGTATCGCAGAGGTCAGTGGTTCGAATCCCGTACAGGCCTGATTTTTTTCAGGTCTGATTTTCGCTATTGCTTAAATAGCGCTATCTACTGCGAGGATCGTGCATCATACGTATCTAATACCGCAGTTCAAAATATATGAACTTCATATATTTCATTGTATCTAATCACACTACTATCGGCAAAAACACCTTCATTTCTCAACTGATTCGTTTTCATTCACATTCTTTAATTTTCCTTTTTTTAAATGTACTTGTAAAATATGGTATCTAATAACAATAACGTGTAAAAATCCTTTTGATTTTATTTTAATTTTCATAGTTGACGCTTCTTTTAAATTCATCGAGTTGACCAATTATACATACATTTAAAACACAATAAAATTCGTAAATATAATCTATTGTGTCAATTTGCAATCTGTTATGCCCCAATTGCGATGAAAAGCGGATGAATTCAACCAAAACTATTTCCTACTTTTTTTTTGCGTTAATTATCCAAAGAAAGTTGATTTAAAATTAAAACCAAAGTCAATTCATTTATTTGTCGAAGCTGGATTTTGTTCCTATTTTTGCCTTTTTGCTGACATGTTGTTGAGCAACGAGCTTTTTTAAATTGTCACACACAACTGGAGGTTTGTGTAATCATTCTTCGCCACGGAAGCAAATACAAAGCTAAGACAATAGAGACCTTAAGCAGTCAGGACGGCAACGCTAAGGGAGACGTCGATTAAAAAATAAATTTCTACTTTTAATTAGAATTTCGAAAATTGGTGCATGTGTTTACCGTCTCATACGAGGCCACACCTCATCCTCAGGATAACGTATAAAAGTAGCGCTCAGTTCCAAATGGAAATTAAAATAATCTACTGTCGCAGTTTCGGTTCGCAGACGACGTAAGTGTTAGTGATTTCACGCTGTCGTTTTGCAAAGGACGGCTGAAACTATCAAACGCCGAAAAAATCAACTTTGTTGATATCCTCAAATTATTTCGTTACCCCCACCGACGCAGCCTCAAACAGTTTCTTTAAAGATTATCAGCCTTTATTCGCAATCTAGGATACTCGCATCAGTGTACACAAACTTT